TGGGCCTAAACTAGATTGCAGTTCGGGTAGTTGGCCATCAGTTGCCCAGCCCAATGGAACAGGACAAGAGGCAATCTTGGCTTGTGGCCTTGTGGCTGAACAGTGGCTTGCAGAATGCTGATAAACATGTGCAAGTTAAGACGCAGCAGTCATTGGCAAGCACCATATTGTCCATTGATGCAATGACTCTTATTTGCACACAGGTGCCGATCCCCGTGCAGCCAGCTTGCCCGAGAGGCCCTGATGCTCGATTCTTCTCCTTTGCCACGACCGTGGCAGCAAAAGCCTACAACTCAGACAGAGAGTGCGAAGGCGCGGAGGGGCGGCACGGCAAGGGACAGAATTATACACCTTGTCATCCTTTGGAACAATGCACCAGCCTGCCCGTGTTCTGCACAAGACCACTGTATGCGTGGAATTGATGTCATCACATATTTGGAGTATTCTGTGAGAATCTCCATGGACAAACAACGGTGCATGCTACCGCACAGGTCATTGGAGTCATTCGGCCTTGGTGCTTACGTTTGTCCAGAGTAGTCCAACACGGATGCAGGAGGTTGCCCTCCAACGTAATCGAGCGCGCCAATCCAACTTTTGAGAGGCAATTGAAGCCATGAAACAGCCCGAGCTTGGAAAAAACCTAACCTGCGAAACCGTTTCCATCATAGCGCTTTCAACCCGTGCGAGTGCGCAGCAATGCTTGAGCGATTGATCGGCCTGGTTCACCCAGTGTTCTTGCGGTTATCCATGTTCCCAGTAGCTGAACAAAATCGCCCATTGGCTCAGGCTGGCTGGGCTTGACGTATCAAGCAACGCCCGGGGCAGAGAAGAGCACCGTGTGCCTCCGCACGGGAAGGGGGGGATTGTGCTTTCCAAGCAAACGAAGCCCAAAGCTCCCGTAGGTTGAATTTGGAAGCCTCTTCAAGTAGTGTTTAGAGCATTACGGAAAACACCAACATCTGAAGGGAGTATCCATTTAAGGACAGACTAGCATTGGGATTTGCTTTCAATTGGAAGGCGGCGGAAGCCATACATGAAAGTTAGGTGAGGGATTTAGCATCAATTTGTTTATATGACATGCAGCTTGCTGGTTGCTGGTTGGCTTTTACAGCTGGATACGGCTGCACAGTTTACAGCAGACCGATGATAGTTAGCCACAATCTGGGTCATGTTGAGTTGTTTTTACCCTCCATGTTTGAAGATCACCCATCATGCTTGCAGGTTTGCGGGTGGATCCGCATTGTTGAAGTTCCCTTCATATAGGAGCTTCGTATGGGCATGCCAGCCGTTGCGACGCTGTTCGGTGTTCATGCCGCTTTCTAATCCCAACATCTTTCTGGACGCGCCATGGTCAACACTCATACTGTGGATGAGCGAAATCCTGCACCACCTAAGAATCCCTGGCATGTTGATTCCCTTGTGAATACCAACAAACAATGGTGTCTCATGTTTGCTTTCGGTGGTGCGAATTGGATTTCGTCCATCCGCAGTACGAAGAGGGGTGGGATGATCATAGCTCTGCTCAATCCATAGATCAGATCCAGACAGCCGGCCGAGGGTCTTGCACATCCGGATGAGCCAACCAACTGCGCAGCTGCAGGGCGAGGCAATTGGAGAGCTGGGCAGCCTGCATGGACTTAGAGCGATTCCAGGTCAGTCCCTTCAGGTCAGTCCCTTGTGTCCTTGGGGTTCCACTTCTCACTTTCTGAGTTCCTGGACTTTAAACTTGTTGGGTGTGGACAAGTTTACTGCCAAATGAACAGTTTGGACTTGTTTTTTGCCAATCCGCTCAAGAAGTGAGACTAGCTGTAGTTCTGCTCTGGCCGTTGTCCACTGGCATCGTCGGTTTTGCACAGAGTTGTACCGACTTAGAGATGCTGCATTGGTGTGCATTTGGTAGATCATTTTGGTGCGACCACATGCTAAAGAGGCGTGGGCGCCGCTCAACTCAAAGGGAAAGGATAGCCAAAGACGGACAGAGCAGTGCTTCAGCCGTTGAAGGTTTTGCCACGCTGGTCAGATCTTGAAAGATGTGTGCGAATTGAGGCAACTGCAATATTGGGTAGCCGAGGCACCAACCTCATCTACCTTTGCTGGGGGCTGCAGCTCAGAGCATTTAAGGGATTTGTCCCATGCAAAACCTCGACAAGAACTGATTCTCGATATATGTTTTTCGGCCGTCACCATGCTCACTGTGCAATCGCTTTCCCCTAATGACAGTGGCTAACGCTTGTGTTTGTGCGTGTGTTTGCGTTTGTGTTCGTGTCATTGTCTTTGTGTGTGATTGCTCCCAACCCACACACACACACATTCACCAAAAACAAGGCTTGATTTTGGCCAAGGCGCAACAGCACCAGGACTCGATCTGGGGGATTTGGTTTTGTTTCTATGCGACACTCAGTTGCGAAAAAGAGAAGGAGTACGGCCCCATGGTATCCTCATTGGTTGATTGGTTGGTCGGGTGGGTGGGTGCACGAGTGGGTGGCTGGGTCGCTCGGTTGGTAAGTGGCGAATTCCAAGGCACGGTCCAAGGCTCAAGGCCCCTCTGCACCGAGTCCAAAGGGCCCGAAATGCAGTTTTTTGTTGTTTTTTTTTGGGGGGGAAGGGGCTTGCCTTTAAGTATTAGACGACCAAGCCCTAAAGCAATAAACCGAAACCCGAAACCTAAATCCTAAGTCCTAAACCGTCCAATATGCAACGCCCGCCTTTAAGTTCAACCTTGTTGCCCCCATGCCCCCTGGACGTCTGTGTTTCGATTTGGGAGCCGCAGCCTTTGCCATCGCATAGGAGCTGACTTGCATGCTGAATCGCTTGCAGCGCAGCCTGGAAGAAGCCAGCTGAAAGCGGTCGGAAATGATGAAGACCAGGTTGGTCGGCAGGATGGAACGCTAGGCCCCAACAGCCGCCATCAAAGTAGATCAGCGGCAAAATTCAACAATTTAGGCAAGCATGCCACACCTGGATGGATGTTATGTGTAAAGATGAACAACTTTGAAGCATACAAAGATCTCTCGTCAACGGTGCCATGCGTTTCCGCCATGGTCTGGAGCCGGAATGTGGCTTCCGGTGCGGAGACGGAGACGGGTGAGATCATATGGTCACGAGCGATGCTGAGTGAGAATCCCGTATGTTGCATGTTCGCCGAAGCCTTCGAGGCTGACCTGGGTCCTTTGAGGTCGACGTCGGTTCCTTCGGATGTGTTTCTGCAGTGCATCAAGCGGGTGAATGGCATTCTGGCGACAAGGGCCCTACTGGGCAACTTTGCGCTGATTCTCGGACTACTGGTAGCCGTGGTAGCCTTGGTCCTGGTGCTGGTGGGCTTGGCGGTTCCCCTGCAAGGTTTGGCATCTACCGCCAACGACTGCGCTCCTGAGACTACTCGCTGCTTGAAGCTGGAGCCGCTCTTCTTTGTTTCTCTTTTCCAACCAGCCGACCTTTTTCACCACCTGGTTTTTTTCCGATCTTCTATTTGCTTAAAACTAGGTTTTACTTGCTCCTGTTGGTTTAAAAAGGAAATCTATCACTACTGGAAATATGTTTCTGTTGTTTTCTTCTTCTTCTTTTATTTTTTCTTTTTGCAGGGGGCTTAAGCAAATGACAGAGACTGGATGTTTTTCTACTGCTCCGAAAAGGTGGAGCGTTTGTGCGGGTTTTTGGGGTTTTAAGGTTTGCATCGCCTTGAGCGTGGCGGGCCTGGTTTGCGGCCCACTGCTCATGTGCGGGCTGCGTGGCAGCTGTAGGTGCGTGAACAGCGCCCAAAAGGACGTGGAAGCCGTTTTCAAGGACTCCAGGTTGGCGAAATGTTTGTACTGACGGGAACCAAATGAAGGTTGGTTGCACAATGGATCTTGAATTATTGCTGTCAATGATGCTTAAACTATGGGTGGGCTTAACCCTACAAGGACTGGCCGGAAACGTACGGGATGACTGTTACCTACCAGAGCCGCTCCATATTTGACGAACCCGTACATCCGGCAACTGTCACTTTCTCAAATATCGATACGGATCCAACAGCCTGATGACCTGTGCAGGGAGAAATATGTTCCGAGCATGGGCCATTTGTGGTGATTGGATTCCGAGGGTTTTGACTGCAGGCAAGAAGCACGCTTCATGCGGCACGCTGTACACTTGCTGGAAGCTCGAGTGATCCGGCCTCGAGAAAAAGATCTGTCTCAATTTGAGCATTGGCGTAAGGGTGTACCAAGTGTTCTAGGTAGTTTTGTGGGATGATTCATCGACCTGGTGCCTGACAAATTAGCTCTTGTTGGGTTTTGCAGGTTATGCTTCATGGCTATTTGGTTGGATCTTTGAATTTTAACTTTTTGGGAAACAGTGGATTGTCCGTCGGACCCACAAAAGTTAGCCTTTTTGCAGAGGGGTCAACAGCAACCAAGTATGCATTGAAATCTATCAGTTTTCCCTGGTGGGAAAAGTCTGGTTCTCCCTGCCCTCTTTAAAAATTGAGTTTGGGGATTTCATGTCTGGTTCCATTGTCCCGTTTTTTGCGGGGGGAATACTTGAGAAATGTCGCCCCCTTGCGGTAGGGGGGATTTTGTTGGTTTTTTGAATGGCCAATCTGTGTGTATGCTTTGTTCGGAGCCCAGCAAACGGCTTGCGGCGCAAGCCGCATCCATGGCCGACATGTGTTGACCATCTCCCCCCCTCCCCCCACCCCCGTGCAAGCCCCCCCCCCCCCCCCGCTCCAGTGGGCGGGGCCTCCTTTTCTCAATATGACTGAACAGCGCCCTATTGAACGGCCAAAGAGCCAAACCGGATAGCTCACCATACACTCGAAGGGCCCGGTCCCCAAACAAGTTCAAACCCAGCCAAAGACCCTGAAATTCTGGGCCGAAATTGGCCCAAGTGAAGCTGATGGCTGCCTTGCGACCAAAAAAACATCTGAGGCGAAGTGGGGTCGCAGATTTAGGACAGCCCAACAGCAATGCGCAGGTCAGATCCATACTTGATTACCTCCTACTTGCTGGATGGCTTGCCCATCAGCAGCTTGCACAAATTGCGGGGGACTGCGGCTTTGTTTGGGAGCAGACTAGCAGTGCGCCTCCCACGCAGTGCGAGCCGAGTTGCTCTGACGGCATTCCTGAGCTCTGATGGCACCAGGATGGCTGGCCATTTGATGTTTGTTTCTTTTTGGTGTGTGTGTGTGTGTGTGCGGAGTGGCAGAAAACCCTGCCACCACAACCGTTTTCTGTTGCAGCAGGGGGGCAACGGACACTCTGGGTCGCGTTGCCCAACGAAGACCGTCCAGAGTTGTCGTGAAGCAACACGGGACGCCGTGCTGTGTACCTGCAACATTTGCGTGATTCTGAAAGTCTATCTGGCCCTCTCCTTTCGCTCGCTGTGTGTGCTTCATGTTGGAACTGGTAACGTTTTCGACACTAGAGTGAAACCGAGTGCATTGCGAGCCGAACCCCACCCACTCGAGACTCATCAGTTGTACTCGAGACTCATCAGTTGTACTCGAAAGATTAGCACTCTCCATCTGGAGTTTAAGTGTGTACACCCCATTCGTGGGGAATCCTCGGGTGTACCCATTGTGTGACCCCGGGCCGGCTCTGTCGGAAAATTTGACCTCAACGTGCGTATCATAGAACAGCGGAATTTCACATTTAACCAGGAACGAGGTTTCACTAAAGGGAAGCAAGCCGTCAGATCATAGCGACGTCTCACCACAGTTGATAGCTGCCGATTTTCATTGCATACTCTGACCGTTGGTTGAACTTGTTGCTCGTATCACTGCGGTTGTCGATTGCTGACTTGTATTTGCTTTGCCTTGTACATTTCGCTCGACCATTGCAGTTGAGGGCCGCTACCTTGCATTTGCATTGATTTGAATGTTGTCGGGTCTGATTCTCTCAAGGTGGAAGTGTGCAATTTCAGATTCAGTTGCGTCACCATGTCTCGACGTGATGATCGTGATAGATCCAGGACTCGACGCAGACGTGATCGGAGTCCGTCCCCTCAAGCTCACAAAGCACGCCGACGTGAGCACAATGACAACCAGGCCTCGGAGAACATGGATTGGAACAACTCGGTTTCATGGCAGCACAACTCCGGCTACAACGCTGCTAACAACTTTCCGATGGTGCCTACCAATTTTCAATCGACTCACAACCCCACACAGCAATTCCAATACCCGGCGATCAACTACATGATGCCGATCCCTCCTGATCCCACGCCATCCAAGTTCATGCCACCAGTGATGCCACCACCGATCACTACTTCCCAACCTACACCTTCACCTGGACCTCCCGCAGCTCTACCGGTTCGTCCTCAGAAAGCCTGGCTTACTCCCTCGCCTGACTGGACACCTGGAGACGGCATGTTTGATGTCAATCAACTCTACAACTTCAGCCTGCCCATGACTGTTGCCAACACTCCACATGGCAACCTTCGCGACATGTCAGGCATGGATATTAGGGACGTACGCCTGGTTCAGGTTATCCACGGGGGCCTCACCAACTGGCTACTCAGGCCGTTTGCACACGGCCGATTCGTGACGTGGGAAGGCTTTCGCACCCGCACTGAGGCCTTACTTTGGAGTACCTGCTCCAAATTACTACGAAGATCGCAGTCACTCAACCTGCTCACCCTGGAAAAGGACCTTGCCAACACGCTGGGTCTCAACATTGATGACTTCAATCAGCGCATCAAGGTCCACGACCATTTGGCCAACCTGGTACTTCAATTTCTTCAACAACATCACACCTCTCTCGCACCTGCCGCCCAGACCGATGACATGGTCAAGAAGTTCAATGATTTGAATCGTGCACATGAACTTCTCCAAGCTCAGTATTCCGCATCACTTCGCGCATCGACCTCGCCCACGATGACAAACCAGAAAGATGATGCAGAGTTGGTTACACCGCCACCGGTCAACCACACACCATCCTCGTCACCTGCCAGCTCCCTTCCCACAGCCAGCGCGGCCGCCCTGGATGGCAAGTCGTTTGATAGCGTGGTGCAACCTCGGATCATGCAGTCTCTTCACGGAGTGTCGTCACCGCCGTCCAAACCGGCGGCGTCACAATTGCTCACCATGCACAGCACGCCGGATGAAGTTGTCAAGTACTACACATGGACCAGTGACCAACCTCGCCTTTTCCTCAAGCAAGCACCCACAACAACCACTTTGGCATCGCTGGTTAAGTGGGCCAATCACCCGTCCCGGCTCAACGGCAACAAGTCATTAGATTCTATGGCGACGCAGCTTCTTCAGGCCAGGCAACGCATGCCGAAGGGCGATGCGCCCACACTCGGTGCAATGGCAGCATCATGGGGTCTTGAACCCGGGTACCTTACCAAACTCACTGAGAAGGCATTGAGTCACCTCATCGTGACCGCTCGCCTGCTCTGTGGATGAGAAGGCATCATGACGACCTTCGTTCTCATATGAGCCCGGAGCGGCAACAATGTCACGGATGAGTCCAGGTGAAAACTCGTCCGTCAAGTGTTTGCGTTGCACATGATTGATCTTGTACTTGCTTGTTCTTGCATTGCCTCTTGTGTGATTGTCTGTGATGCTTGTATTCATGTCGCCGCCTTGTGGTAGATTTCGTTGGTTGCATCTCACCATGTTGGATGAACTTCGCCGCTGCGGAATCTATGATGATGTTGCACAATGGCAGTCGCTGGACGACCTTCTGCACTCGTTGACCATATTCTCGACGTGCTGGCATTACTGTTTCCCTGGACTACCACCACCGTCGATTCCAATTGAGGAGTACGAATCCATCACACAATTGCCGTGGCTGGGTCTCATCCTCGAGGTCTTAGTTGTGGTCCGGATAGCCCTCCAGATTCCGAATTGCGCTATGTCCAACTCTCAGCACACCGTGGCCAACAGGTACGAACTTCACAGATGTCGGTGCGCTGCCTATTTATTGATCAGTTTCTTACAACGTCTCATTTCACAGGATCACGGCTACTTCCCGCCGTTCTTCGAAGTCCTTCACTTCTACAAGACTTCTCTCTTGTGTGAAATCATGCACTCAACTTTCGCTGACACGCGACATCTACGCTCATTGCGGGCGCGATTTCCTGACCTCTACGACTTCATACATGATCCAGGTCATCACCAACAACCGTGCGTCTACATTCGACTTTCCCCATGGCACACACCATACTATGTTGGGGCGACTGATCAGGATGTTCTACGTCGTGAACACTCACGCAGTCGCAAATTTCTACAACTACTTCGTGGACGGCATGCCTTCTTTGAACCGGCGCTTCACTACTGGAAACGATCCAATACTTACTGGCTCTTCTGTGCTGTACCAGTGGAAATCAAACTTCCAGTTTCCTCGGTGTGGGTTCAAGAAAGCAAATGGCAATACCTGCTACGCCCGCATTTGAATGCGCCGTGGGTACACAGAATCTTGCGCAAGGTGGGCTTCCGGGAACATCTTGTAGATTTTCGACGCCACTCATTGTCGTCTCCCACTTCCCTTGGCTTGCACAAGCGCTTTCGACGACGACTACATCCGGATCTCCAACGGCAACTACGACCTGACACCCTGGATGACATTCAAGCCCACTACTCGATCCTCTATCAGCTGGGATCGAATACAGGAGCGTCGTTCCAAGTCATGCGTGACCTACTGTCAGCCGCTTTCCCTCCCACTCAGCTGTACTACTTATTGCGGCTCGCAGTCTTTGTCAACGAGCCCTTCCACTCCAAGGCCCAGAAGCTCCTCGCCCAGGTACTGCGCAAACGACGGCTACAACCACCCACCACTTTAACACAGCTACTCTTGCCGCCGCTGCATGTCCAGAATTGGAAAGCTCTACTGGGCACATGGTTACAAAGCTGGATTGCTTCTCATCGGGATCTGTTCCCTTCTCTTTTCATTCCAAAGATCCGGGTTGTGGAAACTCGCAGCGCCACATTGGGCGACAAGATATACAACTATCGCACATGGCAGCGCAAATGGGCGCCTGACACATCCTTTCCGTGTCGCTGTTTGGACATCGATGATAGCCATCTACACCGTGCACATGGTCACGCAGTAATGGTGGATGAGTTTTCTCGCATCAATGCGGACATTAACATTGAAATCATGGCCGCCTCAATGAAGGATCAGTTTTTCGGTGATGTCGACTTATTGCATCAACGTTTCGCCACACAACTTCGCAAACTTGCTCGCCGCTGGCATGTACATGGTTCCGGTCTGCTTTCAGATCTACAGCCAGTTGTGACTCAGTTAATGGACACTCATCGGATCAACCTTCAAGATCGGGCTTATTGGTCATCGACATCGTTGCAACGCACTGTGGCTTCTTTGTCTTCGTGGGTAGTTATCCCGGCGGATCATTTTCCCTCCCGCGCACATGTGATGTGCCCGTCCCTGTTTGCCATATTGATGCGGAAGACATTCTGCGCGGGGGATGTCTTCTCACTTTGCCGCGAATCCGCAGCATCCTTTCGCTCTGAAGTGGTAACCACGGTACCTTCTCTCCTACGTCAACGATATGCATGGGGACTTCGACTTCAAGCACCGTTGCCCACAGCGCGCATCCTCCCAAAGCCGACCAAGGACTGGCAGAAAGCTCGACCCATCATTTCATTCTTTCGCACATGGGCAGCTCCCTTCCTCACGGTCTTCGGTGCACTCATATTTGAACTCACCAAGGCGGCCTTCCCCGACATTGCAGGTCAACTCTCAGTACAAGAACTTATCCAGCAGCTGTGGGAAGCACTGTCAAAAGCAGATCCTGATGAGTACATCCACCTGGTGTCGCAAGACTTGTCAGGCTTCTTCACGTCCATTCCTACGGAACGATTCCATCAGGCGCTTCAAGTGCTTCTCCATCGATATGATCAAGTTGTTGGCCTTCGCGGTTCCTCGCAATGGTCCGTGTACGAAGTCAAGTCAGATCATCGACGCCGTATGTTCAAAGGAAAGTGGCGCCGACAAACCAAGATCCCTCGAATTTTTCGTGAACAAGATCTCCGGCACCTTCTGGACTTTGTCATTGACAA